ATTTCAACACACGAACATTTCGACACACCAACATTTCAACACACCGACATTTCCACACACGAACATTTCCAAACACGAACATTTCCACACACACTCATTTCCACTCACGAACTTTTCCACTCACGAACATTTCCACTCACGAACTTTTCCACTCACGAACATTTCCACTCACGAACTTTTCCACTCACGAACATTTCCACACACCAACATTTCCACAAACGAACATTTCCACACACACTCATTTCAACACACAAACATTTCCACACATGCACATTTCCACACACGAACATTTCCACACACCAACATTTCCACAAACGAACATTTCAACACACGAACATTTCCACACACGAACATTTCCACACACGAACATTTCCACACACACTCATTTCCACACACGAACATTTCCACACACGAACATTTCCACACACGAACATTTCCACACACGAACATTTCCACTCACGAACATTTCCACATACGCACATTTCCACACACGAACATTTCCACACACGAACATTTTGACACACGAACATTTTGATACACGAACATTTCCACACACGCACATTTTCACTCACGCACATTTCCACACACGCACATTTCCACACACGAACATTTCCACTCACGCACATTTCCACACACGAACATTTCCACTCACGAACATTTCCACACACGCACATTTCCACACACGAACATTTCCACACACGAACATTTTGACACACGAACATTTTGATACACGAACATTTCCACACATGCACATTTCAACACACGAACATTTCCACACACACTCATTTCAACACACAAACATTTCCACACATGCACATTTCCACTCAAGCATATTTTCCACACACGCGCATTTCCAACCACGAACATTTCCACTCACGCACATTTCCACACATGCACATTTCAACACACGAACATTTCCACACACACTCATTTCAACACACAAACATTTCCACACATGCACATTTCCACTCAAGCATATTTTCCACACACGCGCATTTCCAACCACGAACATTTCCACTCACGCACATTTCCACACACGCACATTTCAACACACGAACATTTCCACACACACTCATTTCAACACACAAACATTTCCACACATGCACATTTCCACTCACGCATATTTTCCACACACGCGCATTTCCAACCACGAGCATTTCCACTCACGAACATTTCCCCACACGCACATTTCCACACACGAACATTTCCACACACGAACATTTTGACACACGAACATTTTGATACACGAACATTTCCACACACGCACATTTCCACACACGAACATTTCAACACACAAACATTTCCACACATGCACATTTCCACTCACGCATATTTTCCACACACGCGCATTTCCACACACGAACATTTCCATAAACGAACATTTCCACACACGCACATTTCCACACACGTACATTTCCACACACGAACATTTCCACACACACTCATTTCAACACACAAACATTTCCACACATGCACATTTCCACTCACGCATTTTCTTTATGTTTTGGTTTCTCTTCAGTACCCGTTGTTGTCTTTCCTTTGTGCTTAAGTGTCTCCTCAATTTCAGTTGTTGTTATTCCATTGGTGTTTAGGTGTCTACTTATTTCGTGTTTTTGTTGTTGTCATTTCTCTGTGATTTGGTGTTACATCAGTTTCTGTTGTTGTCTTTCCTTTTGCTTTGATGTCTTTTCTGTTCCTGCTGTTGTCTTTAGCTATCAACACCGGCTTGGTACAGGTTATTGATCCTGGCTTATTGATGCTGTGGTACAGTGTTGTCTGTTCACCTGACCTAGTTAGTTCCATAGGTGGTGTCTGATTCGCGGAAGACAATGTATGTTAGTTTTGTTAATGGCATTGTCTCCTTTCTTTTAAAAGTTCAACCGGATTAAGGAAGGCATTCCCAGGCGGATGCCACTAGTAACAGTACTAAACACACGCAGTGGAGATAGAGTGATAAGGTGTTTATTTAATCGCCCGGGCACTGCTATAAAGTACCTTCTGAATATTCCACCTCCCCCCC